TTTTAGATGCGGAGCATCTAATACTCGAGGCTTGTAGTGCGGCGCCGTCCGCAAGCTTCCTCCTCCTCGTTCCACCATCTGTGCATCCCTTCCTCCTCTACACAGCGCGCGCGCTTCACTCCTCCACCATCTGTGCACCCTTCCTCCTCTACACACCGCGTGCGCTTCTCCTCTTCACGAACATTCGCTAGGTGTATAATGCAGCGCGCATGCGCCGTCAAACTTCGAGAACATCGGCAGCTGACGCGCGCGCATGCGCCGTCGCGCTTCGAGAACATCGGCAGCTGACGCGCGTGCATGCGCCGTTGCGCTTCTCCCCCTTCTCGAACATTCGACAGCTGACGCGCGCATGCACCGTCACCCACCATCTGTGCCACGCGCGCTTCTCCCCTTCGAGAACATTTTTCAATTCTCCTGATTCTCCAGTGGACGCGCATGCGCCGTCGCGCTTCGAGAACATTCAACAGCTGACAGTGCATGCGCCGTCGCGCTGTATATATACTCAAGGTCAGCGCTCGCTCGCTCAGTTGCCGCTCGTCGGTTGGTTTGTACGGCGCGTCGACGTCCAAGGTCGCGGTGAAATGAATGCCAACGAATCCACAAACACAATGATCGACGTCCCTTCGACCAGCGCCACCCTTTCGCATACGTGTGTACGTGTTCACTCATTTAACACCCCCTCCTACAACCACGTTAACCAATTTAGCCATCGACCCAAGTAAGTCGCAATTTAACACCCCATTTCACAACCACGTTAACCAATTTAGCCATCGACCCAAGCAAGTCGCACTTTAACACCCCGTTAACCAATTATATGCTCCACATCCTCCTCAGTGTTCCCCCGAGGGAAGCTGCGGGCAATCTTTTTTTCTCACACTTCCCCAAAGAAGCTCGGCAATTCGTAGAGTATGCCACAGCGATCACATTTTCCGAATATTACAGCGCTGCACACCGTGGAGAGCCTCGCTCCTTTTCTACGCCTGACCAATCCACCTTTGACGCGAAGTGACGCAAAGTCGCCTGTCGGTGACTTGACGTGGAACGCAGCTCGTCGATTGGTCTAAACAAGTCACGACGACGGGTTACGCCTTCCCCAACCCCGTGAGGAAGACGGGTGGCGATGCCACGCGAAAATTTGAAACCAGCTGGAACCGATGTTCTAACCCCTGTAACTTCCTTAATATAGCATCTATTCGCAAAAAGTATTGCGGCAGCATACCTACAAAGCAAAAGTGCACATATTTCTCTTTATAACAATTTTTGGACCTCGGGGTTGTTACTGGACCTTTAAGGAACATCCGTAGGCATGGTTCTTACATGTTGCCCTAAACGCCTGGAATCCTCGCCAGCGCACGTCTTCGTCGAGGGAAGGGAGCCTTTAAAAACTTCCGGCAACTAACAACTCGTCAACGGCGCCGCCGCGTCTTCTCTACACCTGCAGCGGAGGGTATGTGTTCGGGAAAAATGACCGCAGGGGGGGGGGGGGGTACGCGCCGAAGAGAGATTTTGACTGAGTTGATGTTCAACCAGCGAGAAGTACGGTCGTCGGTGTCGCGAGTCTCGCGTAGGCGGCGAGCATGAAGTGGTGGTGGTGGTAGTGGTTAGAAGATGACGAAGGCGCCTAACTTCTGCAGCATCGGAAGGGACAATTGGGCGAGTCGGTGCACTTCCATCTTAAACGAATATTAGCGCGACGTAAACAGGGAAGGGAAAGAATAGACAACCTTACAGCGCTGACTTCCAACTAAGGCTTACTCCTAAAAGAAGCGGAATATATGACATCTGGAAAAAAAAACCAAAGCAAGGACAAAAAAAGAACCATCGCGCAAGCTCAAAGTGACAAAACTCTATAAATCGCTATGTGGCTAATGAAACGTGAGCTATCTGAGAGATATGAAACTTCTGCACCTGATAGTGTTATGCAAGGCTGGCTGATGTTGCCCCGCGGCGGTGGTCTAGTGGCTAAGGTACTCGGCTGCTGACCCGCAGGTCGGGGGATCGAATCCCGGCTGCGGCGGCTGGATTTCCGATGGAGGCGGAAATGTTGTAGGTCCGTGTGCTCAGATTTGGGTGCACGTTAAAGAACCCCAGGTGGTCGAAATTTCCGGAGCCCTCCACTACAGCGTCTCTCATAATCATATATGGTGGTTTTGGGACGTTAAACGCCACAAATCAATCAATAATCAAGGCTGGCTGATGCAATTATCACCTTCCAGTGACATATAAAAAGCTTCCATGATTTCTCGAGACCTTTGGTCTTTGTGACGACGTAAAATTTTTGTTTCATCAAAATAAGAATTACACCCATTTCTATGTAATCATGGAAGCTTTTTATATGTCACTGGAAGGTTATAATTGCATCAGCCAGCCTTCCATAACACTATCAGGTGCAGAAGTTTCATATCTCACAGATAGCTTGCACGTTTCATTAGCCACATAGCGATTTATAGAGTTTTGTCACTTTGAGCTTGCGCGATGGTTCTTTTTTTGTCTTTACTTTGCATTTTTCAGATGTCATATATATTCCGCTTCTTTTAGGAATAAAATTTAGTTGCAGTCAGCGCTGTAGTTTGTCTTTTCTTTCCCGTCCCTGTTTACGCCGCGCTAATATTCGTTTAAGATGGAATTTCTGCAGCCCGGCAAGGAGCAGTGCCTCATGAAGTGTCCAGAGCAACGTCATTGTTACCGCGTATCCTCGTCGCCTGCCTAAGCTGGCGAGACCATCAGCGGCACCCCGTCAACTACCTCACGTGCATCACGAGCTGGACTAGTCCGCGTGGAACCTTTTATTGTGTTCGCTATTTTTTTTTTCAAACGTTACTGTGTTATCCACAGATTTTAAATTATTGTGCGCTGCGTCGCACGCTAACAAGCGCGAGAACGACTTTTTTGTTATTTCTTCTTTTTATATCTTCTTTATTTCCATCATGTGTTGATTAACATTCCACGTTGTGTTATACTTCTACCTGCTGTAGCGTTCATTTAATTAGAACATACTTTGTTCTGTAGCGCCCTTTTTCATCGCTTATTCGGGTTTTTCCTCTTGGTTAATTTTTTTTTTTTTTGAACTGATTGCCATTGTGCGGTTTTGATTAAATGCTGATTTTTGTTTAATCAAATGTCCGTGTAAGCTCTATGAGTACGTCAGTCGAACCCAAACATCGCCAGACGTGCAACCTCACGCGTGTCGACCGGCCTGCAAATAAATTTGAAATTAACCGTTTGCAGGCCTTCCAGGCGTCCCGGGCCGAAGCGTGAAGTGGAAGCCTGCGAGTCTGCCGCACGCCGATGTTAGATCGGCGGGGCCTAACTATAGTGACACATGATGCAATGTATCACTTCCCATTCTCTTGCGGCAAGGTTTACATTGGGCAGTCGGGGAGTTGCGTGAACGATTGTCTATACAGAAGTGGGCCACTATCGAGCATCGTATAGTAATTTCGGGCGTAAAGCAATGAGTGCACCGTCGCAATATATGAATGCCGCTACAAGAGAGATTGTTGAAGCCGACCTGATCGCAGGGCCAATGATAATAGTGTACCTGAGCTGTACGTGTCAGCTGCCTGTCGGTAGGGCTGCCGGTGGCGCTGACTGCAAACGAATTTGCAGCGGCAGCTCATGTGCTATTGGACCGTTTGTGTACGGATCTATTCTTACTCTTACTTTCGAAAATAAACAATAAGTAGAAAAAAAGCGCTTGTCTTCCTGATTGTCCATGTGTGTTGGCGCACATTTTGCAGTCGCTCGTCGGTTGTCCCGTGCAAGATGTCCGCTTCGAAGATCGCTCGCCGATCTGAACCCCGTCCCCAGTTTCCTCTAACTGTTCTCACTCTATCCTATACCTATTTTTTTTTCAATCCCTGTTTATCCCATTTGTGCATAACCGCTGAGGTGCCAAAGACAGTGCGGGGTGCATTTTCCTCTTCACTTCCTGTCATTTCACTCACACGAAACGTATTTGCGCAAGTTAAGCGATCAATTCATAAGGAAATAAACTGCCCTGAAATGGTGAGGTCACGTTACAATTGGAAAAGTTCTTCAGCATTTGCCTCTGCCGAAATGCGGCCGGAATCGGAACAGCAATGTGGAATTGTGTGAGTGGCGCCAAACCACGAGACGTCAGTGACACGGACCGCAGTACACCGCGGGACACTGAGACGCACGCAATCCAACAACTCGTCGTACTATATACTTTCAAAACCCGCGCGCTGTCTGCGGGCCGCATTCAAATGAGTGACCTTGGAAGAATTGCGTTGCACTCGGAGTCGGCGCATGTTTTCGCAACGCTCAGCAGTAAATATCTTGGCGCACTGACCTCACCACTGAGGTGGGAATTAGTTTGGCTGTCAGCGCAGTCTGCTAATCAACATGCAGACATTCAGAACTTTTCTTTAAACCATAATAATAAAACAATTTAATAAACGATCGAAAATCTACTGATGAGAGAAAACATATTAAAATTAAAATAGCTTTATTTACATGTTATCTTATGTCGCACGCTTTGATCCATTATAATGTTTACGTTCAGCATCGAAAAGAAAAAAAAAGTTTATGCACGAATTGCTGTTGTTAACTTGCGTTCTGCTCTTGCTCGCGGTAGCATGGAAGCGAAAATGTCTCGTTTGTTTTTTTTTTTTTTTTTGTTCCTATCCCAGATCAGCTTAATTGCATCAGTCACACTGTTCCCTCCTCGAAATTCACGTGGTGTTTCACTGCCCACTTTGCGTTACGCTATAGCTAGCAATATTAAAGTTTAATAGACATCTTAAAAACATGTTGAACGTGCAGCTTCGACAAGAAACCCGCCTCGCGCGCGCGGCTACTAACCGCAACGAAACAACACGACTAACACATTGCTCCGAAACAACGTTACATTATTGACAGTAAAATGCATCATTTTTAGTTATCTGAGATATGGAGAAGTGGCTTGCACGAGCTTTCGCTCAGCGGTGAAAGCTATCACGGTGAAACGATCGGTGCGAAAGCAAGGCATCGCTCACCTGTGATTTGTTCCGCTGACGAAGCGCGGCCAACGGAAAGCGCTAGTACAATGCAACGAACAACAATAACGTTAACCACTTGGAAGTGGAGTAGGACAGCCATGATGAACGAATGCGCGGTCGTCCAGTATCGATTATCCAGCAGGCGACGTTCGTCTCGTCTGCTACAAACTACACTCCATGCCGACCTAGCGCCACCGGGCGTGTCCAGCAACCAACATATTTAATCTTAACATTTACGGAACATATGCAATTATCGGTGGCTATATTCACTTTAAAAGGCTTACACAGGGCAGTGTTTTCACAGCTTTTGCGTATCTTTAATTCACCGACAATCCCACTCGCGACAATGCCATGCGGAGCCGGATTGAGCCGGATCGTTAAGCATTGAGCGAGCGAGATCAACGCTTTTTCGCATCTAACTTTTGCGATCAGTCTCGGACACTGTGAGCGCATCATGCTCGTGTGCCTGCCTCGTTGGTTGATGTGCTGTCTAAGTTTTGTTCCCACCGTAAGTATCAACGGCGCAAGTGTGCTCGGTGCATTTTGTACTCGCGGGTTTGTCTGTTGCACGTTGAAAACGAAACCAGCGTTTTTCTTTTCGGAGCCGCGAAGTTGTACTGTTCGTCTCGCGGGACAGCCCACTGAAAGACTGATCGGTAGATTTATTATCGAGTTGAATTCTTGGTTTCCTTTTTTGTGTGTACCGCTAGCAGTAGCTTGTGATAGACCTGCTTACATGAGCGCGCCAGCCAGATTGGCGGAACCGTTTGAACTTTGCACTCTTTCTCCGCGCTTGATGCCGTTTCTCGGCCGATCGTGTGACTGGAATTCGTACTTCATTGTTTCGTATTGAAGACGCTTCTTTCGTCGTCCCATTCGCAGATGCTCTGATAAAGTCCATCATGATCGCACACGTGAACCAGTTCGTCGTTGGCCTGAAAAGCCGCAGCGAAGATGTGCGCTTCAAGACGGCGAACGAGCTGCACCACTACGTCACCACAGAACTGCGGGAGATGGGCTCGGAGGACGTGTCGGCGTTCATGGAGGAGTTCCACCACCACATATTCGAGATGGTCTCCAGTTCTGACGTGAACGAGAAGAAAGGAGGAATCCTAGCAATAGGTACACGGCTTGAGTTTCCCAGTTTCAACTAAGTTGACTGTGTACATAAAATTACGGAATATTTTGCTTGCTTCAGTTTATCATATATATATCCGTTAAAAATTGTAATTCACTACTACCTTCGGTGCTGTCCACTGAACCCACGAAATGTATTACGAATGAGATAAAGTTACTGCTACTATCGATGGAAAGGAAAATGATAGGTGCCCACGAAACACAAGAAAAGCTAAAAAACTTCTTGTAAATGGCCAAAAAGGTTAGTCTAAAGTTATATAAGAAGTCTTGTTGAGATGTTATTTAAACTTATGCAGCTTGAAAACCTCCTGTAGCTGTGCTAACGCCACGTTATTATACAACTAGAAAACAGTTAGCAAGGATTATACAACTAGAATACTGTTAGCAAGAATTCTAAAAAAACGTCTTCCTAAATTTTTCAAAGGACTTTAATAAATGTTTACTATAATTATATTAATTGAAGCCTACTGAACTTCTTGGCAAAATTCTAAAGAGACTTTTACTAGATCTTTTAACACCTTTTATAGACATTTATTTGTCATGCAAACCTGCGTGTTGAGTGTTTCTCGTAATTAATTTGTTGCATCATGTCAGCATTTTTCTATCGGTGCATTTACCTGTTCACTGTTGAGTGTGACAAGTAGGGACAGTAACGTAATATGACATCAAATTGATTGCTGACACTTTTCTAACCAGCAAAATCAGTGCCCTATTTGTTGAAAGAATGAATCAGTGACTGCCGTCTATCATTAGGATAATCTGTTTTGCTTTGAGACAAAACAGGCTTTTAAACGTCAACTCATTTTCGTTTCTGGTGTTGCCTGAAATGCATCATACTGCACATCCAAAACTAAAAGTAAAATTTTAACGAATATTCTTGCAGACTTGTATGCATACTCTATTCTTCTTGCATACTTTATTATAAATAACAATGACTACACACTTTGTTTCAAAACTTGTACGCTTTATAGTAACTATGATTATACAAAGCAAGCGAGGTGCTGGCCAGATACTTTGTCCACGAAGCTGTACACATACAATGTTTTCTTTGAGCAGATTTCTATCAGTGCAACGAAAATTAGCAGGCTAGCTTAGCCAGCACATTATTGGCCCAGTAGCAAATACATGAAGGTAGAAAATTTGTTACAGCCAGAAAGTAGCAGTCGAACAATTGATTTTTTTCTCACCCAGTGCACTTAAGTTGAGGTATGGCAGGATCATGAGTAGTCAAAATTGATGGGTTTCACCACAAATCCGTGTCTAACAATCAAATTCTGGTTTTGGCAACACCCCGAATCCTAATGCCATCCCAAAATACTCGCACAAAATACACAATGAAGTAAAAAACGTTACAATGTTCCAGAATGCCTTCTGTCATTTATCATTAACAATGTTAAACATGGTTAGGTATCACTGTGACATATCACACATGGTTAGGTATTGGCAAAGTTAGGTATGATTAAGTATGACAGTAGAAAATCACTTGATTGCGCTTACGGCAATAAATTTGAGGTGAGTGAAGTAAGGTTACAAAAACATGTTTAAACTAAATATTCAGTCAATATTACACTGAAATTAAAATTATTGATCTGCTACAGCCTTACTGCAATGTAAAAAGTTCAATTTTAAGTGACTAGTTGCACATTACACAAAAATAAAACATGACATAAAACCTTAGGAAGCAGCACTGACACGTTCAGAAATTTGCTTTGTGCTTGCATTAAAATTCAGCCCTCAGAAGAGAAAATCGCTTTTGTCTGATAAGTCATGTGTCCAGGGAGACACAAAGTAAGACAATAATGGTTTCAGTTGCCCAATCAACTAAGAATAAGGAAATTTCGGTCCAACAATAAGTGGGTATAGAAGTTTAGTATAGAAAAGTTTGTATAGAAAAGTTTGTGGTAGTTGTGTTTCTGCACACTCCCACTTGGCAAAATTCTTCGAGTGTGTCTATGCTCCGAGATATTCCACTCGGAAGTTTAATTGAGCTTTTCATGATTACGCATGCAAGACAGTGAGGATCAGCAAAACATTACTCCCTTGTGGGATGAGCAGTCAGTGCTTGCTATCACCAGCCGATAATAAAGAGGTAACCATTATGTTTGTCTATGGCTTCGACCCATGGTCAGATTATATGCGGCTCCTCAGGTAGTAGTAGCTGTGTGCTAGTGCTCACTGTCCTGCATGCATAATGATGCACGCCACAGCTAAACTTTCCAGCTGGATATCTGAGCACAGGCATGCCAGAATTCTATGGACCCATGTAGTAATGTGACTGGCTCAAATTTTGAATACGTGCACGGGCGCCTGCTGCAGCTACCAATAATAAGTTGATTATTGAATCTTATTCAACAGCACGGCTGACAGTGATAATTATTGTTGCACATTCTGTTTCTTCGAACACTTAGCTATTTTCAAAGTGGCTTTCACACACACAACTTACAGCACTGACTTTTTTAAAGGAAAACAAAAGGCCTAATTTTGAACATCCTGAACATGCGAGCTACTTGAGTACATCAACCAGGTGGCTCAGTCAAGTTCCCTTTCCATAGGGAACAGAAGCCATGCACAGCTGCTGTACATTCAGTAGCCAACTTTTCCATGAGCCACCATTCATGACAGGTTTGTCCGAAATTTTTTCACACTCAGTTCGTACGAGGTGCATGCATAGGCTGCGATGGAAACACAGAAAAAAACAATCAAGTGACATGTGTCTCTTAGCAAAATGTAATTAGTCAGTCTATTCAAAAAGGATTTGGAGCAGTGTGCCTTAAAACAAACAGGATGTACACAAACTAGAGATGTTACAAGCAAAACTTTTTTGGTGTTCCTGGCGAACACAATGGCAAACTTTATGAAAGAAAATGCAATTTCCACATTGCAGATGTGTCAAAACCATGTTTGAATTGCGCTCGTGCATAGTGCATTGACAACAAATTCAATAATACCACAACACATACATGATGGTATGTACTTTCATAAAGTATCCATTGCAGGTAATCTACATTAATAAATATGAATTTGATTTCGAATACAACTTATGTAGCTTTCTTCAGGCCGCTAACACTGGGACGATTATACCTATAATGCCAGAAATTGGTGTAGCTAAATGACTATTGTGTGCTGCCAAATCATGGTCATCAGTATCAATAATTCTGGTTGGCTAAAAAGGCAGTACCCCTCACTTGAGCATCACAGGTTATCTAATGAAAAAAACAAAAAAAAACATGGAAATACTAAGACATATGGGTCACCCACCTTCAACCACACAACATCCCAATAAAGCATGCAAGCTTCTGCAACAATCTCCGGGAACCAGAATCTTGGAAGCTATTGACTGTGATTTAGCAATAAGATTTGATCAAACTGATTTCCAAATTTGTATAATTCCTTCAGTGCCAATAGCTTGAGAACTTGCAGTCAATATTTATAATTCTCAAATAAATACGATGTCCAATTTTACATTTTAACAGCAATATGGGCATCACTTATGCATGCTTACCGTGATTTATACCATTATTGGGGAGTATTGATTGATAAATAAAATGTTCATTCTGCACATACCACAGATCCCGTTGACATCTGTAGCGCATGCCTAGAGCGTTAAGCTTGTCATTAGTCAGAAAAAGACATTGGAGGTGGTGCTCTAAACTATTCTTAATGTTCGTACACGTAAAAGTGTTTAGCATAGTTCCAACACCAATGTTGGGCGAGGTGCATAGAATATTTAATAAACCAAAACAGAATCTAAACCCAGTGGTAACGAGCGGAGTAGAATCTATGGGTGCTCGAATGCATGGACTAATGACTGAATTGGTGCTCGCACAGTAAGGTACAGCGATTCGGCCACATTTAGCCATGAAATATTCATTCGAAAATACAGTTCAAGGTAAACAAATGGCTTAAAATGCACGGATTCAGGCCGCATGAGGCGACCTATGTTGGTGATATATACCGTAAGTTCAAATTTTACTGAACGAGCTGCATGAACACTTAAGCATAAGTGCAACCTTTGTGAGCCATACCTAAGACAATGCAACACGCTGCACACGAACAGGCATCAACTCAAATATCACGGTAGTTTATAAAGATGCGTGCCAGAGCGGATGCATACACCGGCATACATTCTGCCACCCGCAAAGAAAAACATCTCTGATAGTAGTCATAACGTATAATGATACTGTGGCTGTTTAAAATGGAATGTATAGCAGATGAAACTGCCTTGGACACATTCACTTATGAACAGGCTTACGTGCCTTAGGCATGATCAACACCTACAGCTAACAAACACGCCAGAATTAATCAACAAAAATAGTGGTCACTCGCGAGCAGGGCCCCCCTTCAACACCGCTGCCGACAGAGGCGGCACCCGCCACAACTCTGCTCAAATCTGCCCCCAATTTCCCGCTGCGCGTGCATGCTTCACACTCCACAAAAAAAAAAAAAAAACTTTTACGCACTTAACTTCGCACAACTTGCCTTCACACTGCTGAAATTCTACATAAAACTGAGTCGCTATGTAAACAAAAGCTCACTTATCGAGCACATGGTCGGAAAAACAGGGTGAACACGGTAATAAAAAAGCGCCGACTGCAGCAATATGGTACATACCTGCAAGTGCTCCACGATACGAAGCCACACATCCTTGCTTGAGTATAGTGCATCTTCGTAATCAGCAGAACTGGCAGAACACAACACACAAACACAAATTGCCAACACACTTAAAACATGAGAGAAATCGACTCGAACCCGACCCTTCGAGAGACAATCGAGCGGCGGGTAGCACGTCCAAACAAGTAAAATTGTTCTAACCACACAGACGCACGCCGCATTTTTTTAATGCTGACTAGTAAGCTTTGTTACTACATTTAAATATTTAAAAATATATACTACATAAATATGTAAAGAGAATATTATTGATTTAAAAAAAAAGAAATGTAGAAAACATCATTCGAGATTTCATCCACGAATTCTATCAAAAGTCCTAAAAAATATTAGTAAACGTTTTGGAAGACTTCTTGTAAAGAACGTTTTCTTGGCATCATCTAAGATATTTCCCGTGAAAAACGTTTATTCAACGTCACGTAATATACCTAGATGTCCCCATACCTTTCTAGTCGTTTCGAGAAGTTTTTATGACATTTCGTGTCTCTTGGGTGTAACCTTAAGAAAGAGAGCAGAGTGGGTCAGGGAGCAAACTGGGGTTAAGGATGTCATAGTTAAAATCAAGAAGAAAAAATGGACATGGGCCGGGCACGTAGCACATAGGCAGGATAACCGCTAGTTATTATAAGGGTAACTGACTGGCTTCCCAGAGAAGGCAAACACATGATGGGGAAACAGAAAGTTAGGTGGGTGATGAAATTCAAAAGTTCGCAGGTATAACGGGGCAGCAGAAAGCAAAAGACCGGGTTCGTTGGCAGATGATGTGAGAGGCCTCTGCCCTGCAGTGGGTGTAATCAGGCTGATGATGATGACTATTATCATTATTAGGTGTCAGCATTCATATCAAAGTGACTGACAAGGGCCCAGACAAGAAATTGAGATAATCCCACGTATAGAAAGATCGTCTGTTTTATTGTCTACACGGAACTCTTGTTCCCTCAAAATTTGCCTCAAAATTAATTTTGGCACCTGTTGCAGCAAAAATTGGAGGTGTACTTGCAGACAATAATGTGATCTTTTGGTAGTGTATGCTATTATCTCTGTAATAGCGTTGAATTGCAGCACACTTTATTATAATCTTTTCTAGCTTGCACCTCCATTTGTACTTAGCAAAACAGTGAGCCCTGCCTAGTGGCACCGCCGTCGGAGAATCGTGCAGAGAATCTCCTTGGCGGTCTCTGCGATGAGCTCCAGCTAGGTGAAAACAGTTGAAATGGTGCTTACTTAACTGCAGTTTCATTCATTCTTGTGAAGGCAGAACCTTGAGCGTAATAAACAGTTCGTTGAGGAGGGCTATCATCATTGCTCTCAGCTCACAACATTGCTTTAGGACATTGGCATACAGTTTTAGAGGCTTTCAGATAGAAAAATACTGCTAATAAATTCACTTCGTGTTTTGGGGATCAACATTGCAGCTACGAGCATTATGTAGAATGAATTTTTTTGCGCCATAAGCAACAGTGTCGACAAACATCAGTTATCGTGCCCTTTAAACATTGATGTCACAGTAAACAAAGGATGGACTATAACACAATAATTTCAATAACATCACCCCTGTTATCATTATTTTCTTGCATTAATCCTGACTGATGTAGAATGTGGCAATGTCATGACGTATTCTATGTAATGATGCCATTGCTCTGGTTGTTTCCTTCAGTGAATCTCCTGGAAGTGGATTCTGGCAACACTGGGTCAAGAATCAGCCGTTTCGCAAACTACCTCCGCAATCTACTGCCATCTAATGACACAACAGTTACGGAACTCGCTGCGTATGCCATTGGACGTCTGACAACTGTTGGGAGCAGCTTTACCGCTGAATACGACGACTTTGTCATTAAGCGTGCCATTGAGTGGCTCTGTGAGGAGCGCCACGAGGGTAAGCGTCATGCTGCTGTGCTGATTCTTCAGGAACTGGCCATTTCGACACCTACGTTCTTTTTCCAAAACATACAGCCAATCTTCGATTGCATTTTCAATGGCGTACGTGACCCCAAACCGATGATTCGTGAAGGTGCAGTGCTGGCTCTGAGGGCTGCACTCATGGTGACAGCTCAGCGCGAGACAAAGGACACCCAGAATCCTCCCTGGTACTCCAAGTGTTATGAAGAAGCTGAAAGTGGCTTTGAAGAGGCGCTGGGAGGTGCGAGAGAGAAAGGTGTGAACAGAGAGGACCGCGTCCATGGCTCCCTTCTGGTCATCAGCGAACTTCTTAAGTGCAGCAACATTGAAGGAGAGCGAGTGCGCCAGGAACTAGAGGAGGTCACTTCCCAGCAGGCTAGGCACGAAGCACACCGAAGTTCGGGCAGTTCTCTGACGCGCTCTCTGCGGGCCCTGCAACACATGCAAGAGCACCGGGGGGCCAGAGCGGCTCTGCTGCGCTACCATCGAGCACAGGGCTTTCAGCCAGCATCCATAGTGCACTCGTACCAGCTGCACGGGGGCCACCGGCATCACACTCATCGCCTGGTGCCCACGCACGAGAGCAACACCTGCAAACGCCTGCTGGACGAAAAGTTTGATCAGGTGGGTTTTCGCTCTAGTAATGTAAGCCAACACTGCTGTGATATTTCTTGTACCCCTTCAGGGCACCAAAATCCCCACTCTTGTGGCAGAAAGACATTTAACAAGCGAGCAAAGAATAAGGCAGTTGCTATTACATTATAAATTTGATGGTGTATGGCGGCAAGGGCAAGAACCTGTCCATGCTGGCCATATAATGGCTACTGCAATAAAATAAATAAAATAAAAATCATGGTTTCTATCTAAGATTGTAGCAATGAATGTAATAACGACAGACTGCAATGTTATATAACATGAATAATGACAAATAAATAGTGTCAAATAGGGAATTAAGGTTAGCTGCTAACGCTTTTTAGCGTGCAACTTCGCCTAACTCAACAAAATGTTCGCATGAATAGTGGTCACTGGTATGAGCAAAGTAACATCTGTGCTATTTATAGCTTCAACACAAACTTAAGGATGAGAAGACAACATGTACGAGCTTGAGTCATCTGCTGATCCCAGTAAATGTACGGCATGTGCGACCATGGACGACTGCGCTCGTCCGGCTAAAGCACGCAGTTCCTGGCAAAGCCACGCAGCTCCCCCTTCCCTCCCTCTCTGGGACCCCTCCATGTGCCCTTTGCACCAAAGATGTGGCCAGCTTGTTCTCTCTCCACTTGAGCTTCAGGTTATCATTGTCATCAGCCCCCACACTTTCACTACTTGGTGAATATATGATGCACACAAAAATGCCATCGAGACGGACTTTATATGGAAACTCAGGACCATACTGTTTACATTTTCTTTCAGGTTGTTTCACGAAATTCTACGAACTACGCCTGCAGTTGTGATGGTTTCTTATCCTGTTCATTCTACTGCTGATTACAGATATGTGAAAGGGTTTTAAGGCAACGTGCGTTGCGAAATCCATACATCCAGCATGCCCTGCACATGGTGCTGCCCAGACTTGCCGCCTTCCAGACACAAAGATTTGTGAAGAGGTATGAAAGAACACTGCTGTTGCTTGCTTTCTTATTCGTATTTGGTTATTATTTGAATGTTTTCATATTTGAGCACTTCTATTAATATTAACTGCATCACATTTTGGTAATGGCAACTAGCAGAAGTGGAATTCACTGTGTTATCCTCGGCATTATAGTCTCTTAGTTCTCACTAATATTTAAGGGTGAAAGTTCTGCCCCGATATGACCTGCTGTGCCTAAACGACAATTTGCGTGTTCAGCCTAGTCTTTTCAACCGAGCAGCACTTGTTGCATACACAAAGGACACAGCCGCATTCACATCCTGTACAGTTTGGTCACGTCGTATTTCGTTTCATGTATGGTGCTTGCATCATGCTTCATGTGCCACATGAACAAAACACATGAATCTTGTGAAGGCGGTGTTTCTATGGAGAGCTCATTGTGCGACTCTATCTTTTAGCAGTGGAGCTGTTAGTCAAACTATAAAGACTGCAGTGTTGACAAGAAAGTTGGCAAAAGAACTCCCCGCACCATTGCCGAGCACAGCTCGCGCTTTTTGATGGAGCCTGTTGAGCCATACAAACTGATAAAAAATGTAAAAATACAAAGAAGATTACTTTCACCGACGAAGCGATGAATGATATAGCAACAAAATGAAATGTCTAAATGTCAATGCCACATGCTCTTCTTTTTATTTTTGTTACTGCACCATTATACGTGTAATGCTGCTTTCTGCGCCCAAAAGACTGAGAACCATCTAGATAATCTTGGAACCTTCTGGTGAGGCGACGTGCACAACGCATACATTAGAGTTTGTTCTCGAACTTGCGCAGCCACTAGTGATAATGCTGGAATCATTGATGGCATGCTGACACGCTACACTACTTGGCATATTATCAACGGCCAACGCTCTATGTTCGCTTCTATCAGTCTACAGTGTGTATTGCTTGTAGAGTGGCATTTTGTTTTCTGGGCAGAGGTTCATCCAAATACAAAGTTCAGTTGTGAAAACAATGACTGCTGACTTCGTCAATGTCATGACCCCATGACAATGAAAAGCGAGTCTGACAGCTCTTTTGGATCCGGTATCGCGTAACTACAAAACACTGGTGTTAAAGAAAAAGTACGACTGCTTCGGGGAGAAATGCTCTTTTCGTAAAATTTCTTCGAGTTAAGGGCGCACCATGTAAAACGGTGTACGAGCCATACGCTGATTCTTGTTGAGATAGCACGTGTGCCAGCGATCGCGACCGCGCCTTTGGCATCTAAGTTCACAGCTGCTGCCCGAGCCCCACCCCTCAAGTTTTTCATGCTCGTTCAAAATGGGCGTTGTGTTTCCTCTCCGCTTAGGCATTCGACGGCAGGTCTAACATGCGGCGGGATTCTATCTCGTGAGTGCGCAAGAAATATTACCAACTTGGGCTTTACGGGAAACACCGCAGTGACGGCAAAAACCCTTGAGGGTTCAAAGTACTCCTATTGCTAAAAAAAGTTTCCGCGCCAACGCCTATAATAGCAATGGTGCAACGAGCGCATCTAATTTACTTCGAGGCTCTCATGCCGGCTCTGGCGCTATGACCGAAACATCAGTTTCGATCTAAAATTGATTTCTAATCTTATTGTGTTTAAAATGAAGATAACTGTTATTAGCTCATCTCTAGTTTTGAGTTGCTGTTCATGTTGGATGCAGTGTTCTAATCACGTTTTGAACAATGCAACTTTTTAACATTGATATTTTATTCTTTTATTGTTTTTCATTCATTTGAGCTCTAGTAGCTATCGAAAGTGTCACTTATGTCTTTTGAGTTGCTGCGCTTTCAGTTTTGATGTTGTAAGGTTTGGTACATATATATACATCAATTTGTGGTAGGTCTGATGGCTTCATCAGCATTGAATGATTACTAAAAACTGCATAAATTTTGTCTTTACCAGAAAGCAATAATTTTAATTACAGTGATGTGTGATCCTAGAAATCTGCTCCAAAACTAAATTTCACCGCTCCGAAACACACTTTTTGGTGCTTTCAGCTAGTATGCGAGGAATTATTGGTCAGCTGCCAACACATGCTACGTAATGCCAAGTGGCAGAACAAGAGTGTTCCACATTTATCTCATGGCTACTGGCAGTTCTGACTGATGCTTTCACATTTAAATGCACATACACACCCCATCAAGTAGACGGGCGTGTAGCCGCCACGGTAGCTGAGTTAGTAGATCATCAGATGCATTGTTCGAAGGTCGCAGGTTCGGTCCCTTCTCGTGGCAACTTAAGTTTTTGTCCACTTTTTTTCCTTCACATTTACAATCAATTTACTAGGAACAGCATCCACTAAACTCTCCTAGGCATTATTGTTGCTTATTTCTAATAAATATTGTATCTTACAAAGAAAAATGAGCCCTTGAAATTTCTGCTGTTTTCTTCTTCACATTTTGTGTCATTTGCTGTTCTCACCAGCATATTAAGCATTTCATCAAATGATGCTTGGTAATTAAATTAGATTTGCATGTTAAGGTGTCTGTATGCAATATGTAAATTTAAGGGGAAGCAGAGGGGCTGCCTGTGTTCATCGGAACACGTTTTATGCTTGTCATCTTCTATCACCTAGAGTATACAACGCCATTAGTGAAAAGATGTTTGTCATTTATCTTCCTCTGCGTGAATAAAGTCTCACCAAGTTTCAGTGAAGCATCAGTGCAATCACTCACCTGGTGTTCATGTCACTCTGTGACGGCCGTGATGTCTCAAATCTTTCACCAATTATCCCCATTTATCCGCTTGTGCTCGTATTATGTATTTGCTAGGCACATGGAAATGGTAAATTTAAAGTTTGAAGCAAGTTCTAAGCAAGTAGTGATTTGGTGGAATAATTTGAAATGAATTTTGAATTGTATGTCACATTCTATAAAGAATAATGAGCATATTTGTTATGAGATACTAACTACCCTATAAAGCATGTGCGAAGGTAATTCTTGTTGGTTCTGTGGAAAGTGAAAGCAACTCACTGAAGAAGGAACAGGACATGACTTCTAGTATAAGACAATCATATTCTGTAGAGTCCTTCGCGTTTTAAAGTTGGAGCATATAAGCCTGTATAACTAGCTATTGGTCAAACCTCGATGTCGTGCTTGAAGGCTGTGCAGATTTGCCCTGTATTCAGCACTGCTTCACAGCTCTGAAACTGCCTCTACAGAGGTTTGTACATGTCGATTCATTCAGTTCGAATGCTCTGAAATTTAGAATAATTTACATTTGAATATAAATACTGCAATATTTGTTCGAATATCCGATGTGCTCAAATATTCCCACATGCCTAGTATTTGCATCTGCTAACTGCCCTTAACTCTTCACATTCCAAAGCCTTTTTTTGTTTCCCATCTTCCATCATTGTGGTTCAAAACTGAAAGGCTCAAAGCTCAAGTAAAGAAATTTTTTTAGTCTCTTACGGATGACACATAATGTAGCAAAAGAACATGTGCCTTCATCAACCCTGAACCATCTTGTCCAGCACTTTCCAACCACTCAGACCGTGCAGGATTACAGGACAGGGGGGTAAAGTGTTGAGCAAGCACGATGACTTGCAGGTATCTGGCCGACACCATGGACTACCTTCTTGGCTGCTTGCGGAGGGAGAGGGAGCGAAGCTGGGCTTTTCTCTCCATAGGACTGCTAGCTGTTGCTGTGGGTGAACACCTGTTGCCCTACCTTCCTAAGGTTATGGAGGTTATCCGTGTGTCCTTGCCCAGCAACAGTGTGCCATCGAAGTAAGTGGACATTGCAAGGTTCATCCCAGATGATTTGCATCATGCATGTCTTTGAATTTTCGAAAGGATCAACTGCACTAATAAAAGCAAGGACACAGAGAAGGTGAAGGAAAGTGCGTGCACAGACTCAGAACTCTGCTGTGAGTCTGCACATGTGCTATCCTTTACTTTCTCTGTGTCTTTGCATGTATTAGCGCAGTGAAACTTTTCAAGAATGACTATTAAGAGCCCAAATGAGTGCTCTTCTGCAATATATCTTTGAAGTCATGTAGAGTGCCAGCTCTGCCATGCAGATGCTAATTTTGCTGTGCTTCAGCCATATTCAAAAAAGGGCAAATGCTTGAAGCCAGTTCAGCTGTCAGAAATGCTGTATAGCTGTGAGAAGAAGTGACAGGCACACTTGCTTAAGAGAAAGCTGTGGTATTTGCCAAGACGTGAAAGCAGTTCAAGAACACACAAGAATATTGTTAGGTTCTCCGCATAGAGCTGCACAATCTTGGCAGATCTCTTTGATGATCCAATTCTGGTTATCTGTGGGCTTTAAAAGCCAGCCAGAGCTAATTTTGTCATGTTTTTTTGGCAATTCACAGGTCATGTGAACCCGGCTCAATGATTTTCACCTGGTAGCCCTCTGGAAGATTTCTGGCTTGCAGGCAGTGAACTGAGATCACAAGTCCTAACTGCATGATTATAGGGACTTAGTGTATTGCAAGACCTACCATATTTACTCGCGTAATGAACCCCCCTCCCCTTTTTTTTTATTTAGAAAAGTTGACACCAATTTGGGGGAAGGCTTCATTATGCGGAAGAAAAAAAAAGTCACAGGAGTCATAACAGCGAAAATTTCGCTTGACGGCTTGGCTTGTTTTGGCTCGAGAAATGCAAGACAAATATCTATAGCCAGAACCTCTTCTTGTTTCGTCCCGTAACGAAAGTGCACGAATCGACGCCGAAGTGTCGTCCAGCCGCTCGGTTCCCATTCTACAGCGCATGCTGTTCGTAACCTGCCGTGTAGTTAGTGTACTGGCCGAACGCGCCCTGAGCAGCAAGTGTGCCAAAAAAGTTCACAATGACAAACCCAAGACTAAAGACGCAGCGTTGGATGGCAGCACACAAATGTTGGGTACACGTTGCGGGTGCACAACGCTCCGTCATTGTGGTTGCGCTTTGCATGGCCTCCGAGATGGCAGGTGCGCAGCGAGTTTTTATGCCATGCACCCACTATTTCGGAGGCCACACGCTTTCTTTTGTGCCGCTGTGCTTCCGTGGCACTATCATTAAAGAGGTTTCTCCTGCATTCGACAAATCGCACTTTATCCAAAAAGCGCGACTTTCACATTTTGAATAATGTTGTCTGCGCTCGTGCTGCTCACAACTGTTTGGCATGGTCGCTAAACTATGTTTTGACATTTATTGTGTTGTTATTTTGGGATATAATGGCTTGATTTAACGTAGTTTTGATTGTCAACAACACTGGCTATCATACCGAAATAAAATGAACAGATACAGACCAAGGTGAATAGGGGTTCAATATGCAAGTAAATATGGTATTTAAAATGTAAAGCCTCTAATCATTCTCTTGGTAAAAATTTGTCTTGAGAAAAAAAAAATAAAATGAAATTCCTATGTATTTCTAGGTAAGTCATAGTTTTGAGCATTCCAAAAAATTTCGCATGTAACTTGTGGTGCTCTAATTTGTTGTCTTGTAAAAAAATGAATAAAATTTAGTCTCTTTTATTTTGGGAAAGGGGGCTTAGTATTCTTCCAAGAAATTGCAGAGGATGAAGGGCCGAAGTTGGGGCATTTGACATGAAATGACCCATTTATCAGTGCCCACATGCAAGCAGCTGAAATTTATTTATTAATGTATTTACAATTCCTCAAAGGCCTCAGTGAAGGTACATGAGAGGTCAGCTATTGACCATTTACAGAAATCTGCAAGGTTGTTTTCTAATTAAAAGGAAAAAAACTCTCGTGCCCAGGCTGCTTTTCTCGCTCACTGTGCTTTTACCACGCCTATTTCAGTGAAGGCACGCGAGTGCGACAAAACGACTTTTCTCTAACAATTACTGTGTCCCACCTCAAACGAACCCTGAAATCGCATGGAGGGCGTTGTTCATAAAAAAGGGAGGGGGGGAGGCAAAAGCACAATGAGTGAAAAAAGCAGTCCGAGAACGAGACCTTTTGGTTGGAAAAAACCTTGCAAAAAAGCCAGCCTGGAGATGCGCGCAAATGGTCAATCGCTGTGTGTTAAATATGGGTATGCATGGTCTCTGCTATTAAGATGCTGACACTGGAGTGACACACCACGTCAAGGGGAAGGTCGGCTTGATGGTATTAGTAGGAGTTGTTGAGGGGTAAACCTTGAATAATAGGCACGGATCTCGATACAGTGGCCTGATGAAAAACTAGCTAGATTAGTGCAAGATTTTGCTTCATTTACACTTGACTGGTATGAGTAATCTGAAAAATTAATATTGGTGTGTGGTCTTGTGCAGTTTATGATGTTTTAGCGGTGTTACATTGGTGGTGCAGCTTATTTGCAGGTATTTGTTGCATACTGCAAGCACTATCTCTTGTGCCGACGACTGCACTGAAAGCTCCACAGAGAGGGATGCCAAGGGGTACACAACACTAGCATGTGGCGACACCCTGAGGCTATTAGTGCATCTGATCAGAATGCCACTAGCCTTGAAAGCTGGGCGAGTTGGTAAGGGTTCACCTTCCAGCTAACTGCGAGGCAGACGGGACGCAAAGAAAGAACAAAACAAGACAGGCGAGCGCAGACTCACATCTGGTTTACTGAAAAGTTCAAATGTAATCGAAACCAAATAGTGTTTAGCAATGGGCAATGTGTCACAGTCAAAGTTTATAAGTCTATTGGAAAACACAGACAAAAAATCAATAAAACAGGTGCACATGTAAGGACACGAAAGACAACAGTAACATGTAGAACTCAGATATACATGACTTGTAGAAGGTTCACTGATGCACCCTGGTTCCTTTCTTCTTATGTGAAAAGCCTTTATTATTCTTAGACTTAGATATCTGCTATTTCTAGAAATGACATTTGGAGCAGAGTGTGTCAGTGAATCTTCTAGTGTAAGTCTTTCAGATGAAGAGTATGCATACCTGAGGTCTACAGGCTGGGGTTTTCTTACGTGGTGGTACACATGTGCCTGTTTGATTTTGTGTGTGTGTTTGTTTTTGTGTTTTCAGTACGTTGATATACTTTGACTACGACACGTTGCCCTTTGCTGGACACTATTTAGCGTCGTTTACGTTTTTAATGAATCAGTTATGAGTCTGCACTCGTCTGTTTTGTTTCGCAGTTTGCGAGAAGACATGCCACTGTTGGTTTTTGTTCACCAACTATCAGTCGTTGACGTGAAGAAGTAAGCATTGAAGAGAGTTGAGTGTGTTTGAGAAAACTTAAGCTTCACATCTTGGTTCTAAACTCTTCTTTCCGTGCATAACCCTTGGATTTGTTCATAGCAGTGTCTGCTTTCCGCAGAATGTGTTTCTTGAAGGAGCTTGAAGGGTGGTTTATGATCTCCACAAGGGAATGGGATGTTTGTAATTGCTGACTTGTAAACTAGATGGGTTTATCAACATTATGCACACTGAGATGACAAGCACCTTTGTGTGACTGTAGCCACCTCTGTAAACAAAGGCCCCCCTGCCACGATTGACAGAACTGACAACTGTGTTCTTGCGAACAACAATATTCTTGGAATCGGGTCTCAGTCTAGTGCTGGTGCACTTTTTAAAATTTTATTTCGGACACTCTAGCTTGCCGGCAGAATTTCTTTTCTCTTCGTAATTTGTGCCCCTACTCGATACTGTGGTGCAGTGTCACCAATAAGACTTCAAACCTTGTTAACCTCACTGCTCTTATTTTGTTTTTGTTTTTTTATGGGTTTGTGAAATATAGTTTTGACAATCATTGCTTAATAAGTAAACCATTTTTCTAAGGTGTCAACTTTTTTTTCTCTCAAGTGCAACCAACGTCGCCAAATTCAGTGCCATAGTTGTCAAGATAAACAGCATTAATTCTCGGTTATATACTAGATGGTAGCTTCTGAGCTCGGTATCCTAAGGGACTGACAACCAAGTGTTATGGTGCTTGTTTTTTATGTGCTGTGGAATGTTTCTAGTCGGTGTTTAATATAATGGAATGGTAGCACAGAAGATGCTGACAAATACATGTAGCAGCACATGGCAGTGGTAGGTGTAGCCATTGTAATCAAGTAAGGCCCCTTTGGTTTATGCCTGTGCATTGTGTCCATGCATCAAACATGGGTGCTTGGTTCCACGTGTTGTCTTGAAGGCAGCACCACCTCTCAGTGTTAGCTCCTTTTATTACAATAGTATAAGCGAAGATTAGACTGGAGAGAATGTTAAGCATGAATTGCTGTGCACCTAAACAAGAGCAGTCTAGTACACACAGCAATCCGAAAAGTTTGTCGATCAGGCAGCGTCACTTTTAGACACAATTTAAAACAAGAAATGTAATTCAAATCACGAGAAAAAAAAATGCTTGGTTTTGCCACTGCAATTCATGGTCTTTTCATTTCGACTGAGTTTTTAACACACTTCTAACCTAGGCTTCAGAAATCTAATCGCACTTGCTGGCCTTCAAGAGATGCTCTTCATGCACATTGTGTTAGCATGTCATAGTGTGCAGGATTTATCACTATAATTTTATTGTTCTTCTAGGAAAAAAGGTCCTGTGTTGGATCCTGCAGTTTTCACGTGTATCAGCTTGCTAGCAAGAGCCAACAAAAGCAGCATTGCGAGTGATCTGAAAGACCTACTGGACCCCATGCTCAATACTGGCCTTAGGTTTGTCTCAGTTTAAAAGTGGTTCCTAAATTATAGCATGCACTGAGATGCTGGTTAAACATTGGGGTTTGATGGGAAGAGCACGAAAAGCTGAGTGTGTTTGTACTGCCTCTTTCCTCTCTCTCCTACTGCTATGTCGAGAAAAAAAAGTTTGGGTTCGGCCCTCTCTGTTTTCATTTCAGTTGGGTTGCGTTATAAAAAGAATTAAGATTGATAACCACAAGGTAATTAGTTTGCAATGTTAGCTGATGTGCTAGTTCAGTAAACTATAGCTTGCTTACCTTATGGCTACATGCTGCACAGTTCATTGACTTTACCACTAGCTCTACTAGGCAGTGCACATGCTTCGTCAGTGGGTGGTAAACATGGGCACATGGTAGACAGCAATGAATGCTTGAATGTGAACATAAATGAAGCTTAATGTTGCATGGCTACAGCAGTGATATGCTTAAAGATGGCCGCCTTAGGATTCAACATTACAAGAATGTGCAGCATAAGACCTCGTCTCGTTTCTTTCTACAATCCCTCTGTCTTCTATTTCTTTTTATTATTATTTGTGCCGAGTACAGCAGAACAGTAGAAGGGTATTGGGGCATTCAAGTGTGTATCTTGGAGAATAAATGACAGAGTTGAATCTCATAGTGAGATAAATTGTAAGTATTGCCAAGAACCGTATATGTTCAGTATTTGTAGTTTTCAAACAAACAAACAAAAAAAAGATAGGAACAGCCCATCAATAATACACGTGCTTATTTAAGGAGCTCTTTTAAGGGAAGGTGTGACATGAAAAAAGAAAAAAAGCTGCATTAATCTGTAGTCTGGGCGAATAAAATTTTTTTGGTATATATAAGCTTTTGTCCTGATTTCTAATATGTAATTAGTTTTATGGTAAGTTGCACAGTTTTTGTTTTATGCCATGACAATGTGTAAAGTATAGTTCATTCTAGACGAACTTTTTATACCGCTAAACTTTTATTGTTCTGAGCCATCAATGGCTCATAATGCTCTACATTAACCGTAAAATACAAATAAGTATCAAGAAAGTGCCCTATAATGGGCCAGAAAAATTGTAATGTGAGAAATCTTAGAATCCTCAGCTCATACAAATTGCTTACTTGAGGTTCGTTATAACTATACAGGCGATATCAAGTTTTAAAGAATATACTTGCACTCTTCACATGTGGAGGAATATGTAGGCAATATTTCATCTTGATCAAGCTATCAGAAGTACCAAAAAGTGATGTCCAAACTCAAGAAGTTGCTCAAAAATGAATCTTAAGAAAAATGCATTTTAAGGGTACAATTGAAAGCTCACCTATGCAGAAAAAGTTTGTTTTTAAAGATTATTTTTTTTATCATGGGAGCTTGGCAATCATTATTTTGGGAATGTAGATTTAGTGAACTCCTCATGTGAAATGCAATGTCAAGCAGCCAGGTGGCAGTTCCCAGGAGACTTTCGACAATGAGCTTATCTTGGTTCTTGGTAGCCACCTTGTGCTTTTTAAAAGCGATTTTAACCTACTTCAAATTAAATTACAATCTTCAGTTGCTCTGTCATGAAGGTAAGGAAATTTAACTTGAAAACAAAATATATATACGGTATTTACTCGATTCTACCGCGCCCTCGATTGTAACGCGCACCCGGTTTTCACGACCGAAAAAAAAGTAAGACATCGATTGCAACGCGCACCCATTTTTCTTGTTGGCCCACACGACTACACCACTCTGGAAAACGACTCCTTTCGGGAGCGTCTTCCGTTTAAATATGAGGTACGGGGGAAGCTTGTGTCTATCTGACGTGCAACGGAGCATTGCCATCACTCTAGTTTTACCGTGGCCCGATGTCAGCACGCGAGCTTGCTTCGCCCCCTTCTCCTCGACGGTTGTAGTGCCAGGCATGTCGAAGTAAAGAGGCGTCTGATCGGTATTCCCGATTTGCCCAAGCAGGTAGCCGTTGTTGTGCCGCAAGTTTAGGACGAACCTCTGAAAACTGTGAAGCTTTTCATCGTACTCCTCCGGAAACTTTTCGCATATGCCCGTTCGCCTTCGGAGGGAAAAGCCTTTCCTCTTCATAATATTGGTTAGCCAGCACCTGCTCGCTTTAAACTGGCTCCACATTAGCCCTTTTTCTAAGGCTAACTGCATAGCCTGCACTTGGAGCAGTTCTGTCGTCACAGGCCGCTGTGCTGCTCACTGCTCAATCACATACTCGCCGAGCAGCTCTTCAATTTGCGGAAACCGACCCTGCTGTGGTCCACTAAAGACTTTGCGTGAATCTTTGCTGTCGACACTCTTCTGCTTTTGTTTCCGCCAGTCCCGTACGCACGTTTCGGGAGCTCCAAACGACCGCGATGCGGCCCGATTTTCGGAGTCGGCCCTTCCATGCCGTCGATGCTATTGCACTACAAGATGACGAACTCCTTAGCACACATACGAAGTGTCGCACATGGGAAACACATAGGCAGAAATGGCCGACGCGCCATGCCGACGCACGTGAGGGCGGCCATTTTGGAAATGCCGATGGCAATAGAATGACCGTATTCATTTTTTTTCGTACTTGATTCTAACGCGCATGCAATTTATGAACTTGCTTAAGCGGAAAAAAGGTGCGCGTTAGATTCGAGTAATTACGGTAATTTTGGTTAAAAACTTGCATTTATCGCCTTGCATCTCCTTTTAAAACATCAGAGCACTATATACTCTAAGTTGACTTGTCTTAATGGTGAGAAAAAAAATTTGCAGATCACATGCACAGTGGGAATCGATGATATGAGAAGCACGAATGAGAAATGTTGATATGTCTCATTGAAATCAGCACAACATTACGAGGTGGAGGTAAATGATGCTGTTCATATCTCCCGCGTCATGATTATCATGTTTGGATGTGTCGTTTACGATCGTCATCTATTCACGTCACTTGATAGCAAATTTAGTATATATGGAGCTAGCAAAACGACCACGAGCACGCTATGAGCGTGGTGTGTTGTCCTGTTCTTACATCACACGCGTGTCATGATTATCATGTCTGCAACATTCATACACTTCCAGTGACGTTACGTAACACCAAACTTGGTATATGTGGAGCTATCAAAACAGCCGCGAGCACATCATAAAGGGCCCAATATACTCATATGTAGCGCTGACGCGCACGCACGCAGGGCACAGCAACGCTACGTTAGCAAAATGCGAGCACTATATAGTCTGACGCCAGCGCAACCAGATAGACAGAAGGGCAACCGGCGCGAGCGCTGATGTGTTACCCAGACAACACTGCGTCTGCCTCTTTTCGTGACGAAGCGACGCCAGACGCGCTGAAACGCGCATGCGTCAAAGCAACGCAGCGCGGTGCATGCCTGCGAGTATATGGCAGGACCGGCGCCTGGCGTGGCAACACCAGCGTGACGCGACGAAATGAACGGCGGCGAACACGCGTACTGCATCACGTCGAAATGTATTGGCGCCTTGACTGTGGCATGTAGTCATGTTCTCACATGACACGCATCTGATGATTATCTTGTTTGCACCAGTCACATACCTTCGTCATCCATTGGCATCAGTAATATTAAATTTTGCAAATTTGAAGCTAGCGAAACTGCCACGAGCGCATCATCAGTGTGGCATGTAGTCATGTTGTTATATGACACGCATGTCGTGATTATCATGTTTTGATGTGTCATTTATCTATGTAGTCCATTCTCGTCACGTAATACCGAGTTTGGTACATGTGAAGCTAGCGAAATGGCGGCGAGTGCATCATGAGCGTGGCATGTATTCATGTTGTTACATGGCATGCATGTCATGATTTTCATGTTATGACTAGTGAAATATGTTCTTCATACAGTTATGTTACGCCATACCAAGTTTGGTACCAATACCATTATTGAAACAGCCATGAGAGCTAAAAGTCGTAGGCGGCTAGATAGATAGATAGATAGATAGATAGATAGATAGATACGCTTTAAGTCGCCGAAGTTTGCTAAGAAATGCTTCGCATTAAAAAAAAGTTCATTAGAATTTCCTCTTTAGATCTTGACACCTAGCTCTGAAAGTGCAGCAAAAATAATTTCACTACAGTCGATGCCGGGTATATTGAACTCGCATATATCGAACAGTTGATAAACTTCCTTTAATTTCCCATGCAAAAGTATGGCACTGTTGCACACTTATATCGAACTCCCGCAGAGCGTAACATCCTCTATATGGAACACTGTGCTGCGCCGAAGTCCAGAAAGTGCATTTATTCAAGCAAAGATTCATAATGTTTGTGAATGCGTAACTGTAATTGTGAATGCCCGTGAATGCGTAACATTCTGACATAGCATTTTTCCCTCTCCCTATGGAGAGTGAGGGAGAGGGTGTAAGAAATTATTAAGAATATATTTTGTTATAATTGCAATATTTATTGTAGGTGCAATAACATTGATCATTTTTGAAAATTTTAGAGTGAAAAATTTCAACTTAGCATGCCGCTTTGAGTCCTTGAGAAACTTGCATGAAGTCCTGCAAGGTCCTTGAATATCCCTGAATGTTTGCTTTGAAAACCTGTACGAGTAGTGCTTTATAGAATGCAGCTAGAATGGGCCTCTTGAATTCTATATTTGAATAATACGCAAATGACACAAATATATTCATAGCGGCTAAGACTGAGAAAGATTTATACCAAAAAGCTAAGCACACTCTCAACAGGCTCTCGTACTGGTTGAACATAAATGGATCAATTCCAAATCTTAATAAAAGCAAGTTTATAATTTTTTCTGCCAAAAATATTCCACTTAGTAAGGACGGCAAGTTCCTTGTTTTAATGGAGTCGCCCTAGAAAAAGTTAAACAAAATTATTAGGGTTAGTCATAGATGAACATCTGACGTGGCACAATAATGTGCATGATGTAACCAGGAAAGTTTACAAAAATATACCAGTATTTTATAAGCTATGATATCTGTTTCCACTGCACACCAGTCTGATTCTTTACTGTAGGTTTGTTGAATAATACGTGTCGTATTGTGTATCCAACAATGTTACAACAATTCAGTCTCCTTTACTCAGCGTCCTGAATGTAAATCATTTGCTTATCTCCTAATATTTATTGTTGCATTGTGACATTTTCTGCATTGTAATTCTTAATTAGAAATTTCTAAGAAATATTCAATTTCTAAGAAATATACAAAGTTCAATTTCATCAACACATAATGCATTATCTAGCACGTTCCTCTTTGTTAATGTTCTTAATAATTTCATGTACACACACAATTTATGTAGCATTTTCTTTTGTAAATACTGGTGGCAGTCTATTGGACTACACTTCCTGCAGTAATAACTTCATCTATTCAGCATTTTTTTAACACACTGCCCAGTACTTCCTCTGCTGTTCCTAAATTTAAAAAAAAATCTTAGTTTTCGTTCGTGTATTCTGAACCGTTCATCCTTTTGTTTTGTTTTTATGTTTCCTTTTGCATTGTGCGTAGTTTAAATTTTTCATGCATTACTAATAACAATGTTGGGTTCAACAACCCAAAACCAGAATACAATTATGAAAGACGCTGTAGGAGAAGAATCCAGAAATTTCGCCTATCTAGTGTTCTTTAACATGCGCCGACATTACACAGCACATGGGCCATTTCGCCTTCATTGAAAATGCCACCTTAGGACCAGCAGCCGAGCGCATTAACCACTGCTCTACTGTGGCAGACTCCTTTTACGCATTGTCACTCAAACTTTATTACAACAAATTTGCATCTAAGACAAAGTTAAGTTTGTTTCATCCAAAAATTCTAAATCATGATTTATTTCTAACACTATATCTATTGCAAGACTATTTTTCACTTACTTCGTCATAATCAATATTTCATCATATCGAGGTGCGAGTATATAAAAATTTGTTTTCTTTTATATACATTTATGTGTACAATTTTTTTACACAGATTTAGATAAATAATCTGTCATAGGGACCCCTTTGAAAACTTATAGAGTTCTAGGGTCCCAACTGTACAAAAATTACACGCTGTACTCTACATGTGTTAAGAACTGATTGATTGATTAAATTACCATGGGGTCAAGTAACCAGCTGGTTCCGTAGTTGCTGTTCGGTCAGTATTAACATTGTGTTGGGTCAGTTTCTGAAATAAGTTCAGCATGTTTTATAAAAGTGGCATGTGGATTCTGCTGTGCTTTGCTCTCCGGTCCTAATATGGAGACGCCATAGAGCAAACATTGCCGGAAAAAATAGTTGTATAAAACGTGTGAACGCTAATGAGTACATTGGTCGTTGCAGTCCGGCACTGACAGCTGCCTTGCAGGAAGTGTCACTGCGTGTTCCCCAGTTGAAGCGAGACATCCAGGATGGCCTGCTGAAGATGCTGTCCTGTATTCTGATGCAGCGTCCACTCAAGCACCCTGGTGTGCCCAAGCAAATGCATGCAGCTCAGCCCAGTCCAGGTCTGCCTCTGCTCTATACTGCGGGGATGGGAGGCAGCTCTCAGCTGAGCTTGTAAGCCTGCTAGGGCAGTTCACAGTACGGTGTCCTTTTGCCATAGCTTGTACGACTGTAGTTGCCACACTCGGGCCTAGCCGGAGTGTGTCAACAATATTCATGACGTTGGCTACTACGATGTCCCCTTCAGCGGCAGTGTGTACTGTTGTGCACATCAACCTCGAAGATGTGTCATTTCTTGAAGTGGCTGGAAGCCCAGTGATGCTTCCTGGGTGGATGCCCCGCCGCAGTGGTGCAAGCCATTCAGGGATCGAATCTTGGCTGCGGCGGCTGCATTTTTTATGGAGGCACTGTAGTGTGTGCTCAGATTTGGGTGCAAGTTAAAAGAAGACCAGGTGGTCGAAATTTCCGGAGCCCTTTTCTACGGCGTCTCTCATAATTATATGGTGGTTGTTGGATGTTAAATCCTACAAATTATTATAAAAATTAATTCCTGGGTGGATAACTAGCACCCATTTAACTTTGTTGTGCTGCATATTGTTGCGGAGAATGACTTCCAGGCTCACATTAAAAACAATCTTAGTTTCAGGAAAACTTGCTGGTGCTATAAGCTGCAAAGTAATAAGAATATTTTACCTTATTCATCAGCTTATTCTAAATTGGTCAAAAGAGAAATTGTCAATCAATGTTCTTGATTTCAGTTAGGAAGCTTTGTCGTACTGAGATGCATTCAAGTGTTCACTTCTAGTCTGAGCATTTGTTACAGGCTGGTTACTCATATGCAGTGTTCACTTGCGGAATCCTTGCTTTGAAAAATGCGCATGCTGTATAACCATTCACCGCCAGCGATGCGTATCAAAAAAGTGGCTGTTGCTTGTATTCATAAATTGTCCCCCAATATCAAGAAGATCGTACATTGCTCGAAAGTGAAAAGTGGGTTTCCAGCATCTCATTAAAGTCTGCCATCAGGGGAGTGCTTGTGTTCAACAAGGCTGCAAAAAGCGATACAAGAGTCATTTGTTGCTTCACTAACAATGTCTTTTACAGTATTCCACAGTTATGCGGTAAAACATATATATATATATTTATATATATACAGTTAAACTGGAATATAATGTAATTGAACAACTTTCTAAAAAATTCGTTATAAAGAGGATTTTGTTACATGCAGGTTCAGTACAAAGATTGAAAACATAAGTGCAAAATTTAAACAAAAGGGGTACTGTGAAGGCAGAGCTAGCCCAAAACAATGATTTAGCGATAAAAAACTGCATTATTATTGCAATAGCAATTATGTAGACACTCTCGGCAGGTTCTTGCCGTTGCTGCCATGTTCCATAATTGGTCTAAATTTAGAACATACCCCCGCGCATTGTAACTTTTACGAACTGGGAAAGCGGGCGACCGCTGCTGTAGCAGAGGCCAATTGAGCAGGCGAATCACTATCCCCCAGTGTTAGCCCAAGCCTCAGCCGTCGAATACTCAAACAGAAAGGAAAACACTTGTCTTGAGCTAGCATGAAAAAACGCAAGAAGAGGGGAGGGGGGAGAATTCGCTTGTGTAGGAACGGTGAACTTCGATTAAAGGGTCCCTGAAACGTTTTTTTCACATTCCATTTTTGATTAGACCACTACTGGAGCAAATTATTGACACCAGAGTTCAATCGAAACATCCAATTTTAACAGAGCTACGAGTACTAAAAAAGTACCCTCCTCGTCCGCTCCGCCTTTCACCCTGAACTGCCTTCAACTCTTCCTTCGAGCGCTCGGGCAACACCCTCGGGGCTAAGCTCCGCCTTCACGGCGCCTGCGTCACGATGTGGCATGAGACCGCATACGCGTAAATCTCGCCGCCGATCCGATACCGTCCGTCAGATGACACCAGTGGGGCAGAGCGGGTTGCTTGGTGTATGGGCGGTTGAAAATGCGTTTGGCCGAGTCGCAGCGATTTGCAGTGATTTGGAGCAATTCGCAGCTTTAAAGCATTGTAATAAATTACACAGTTACTCTAAATTACCCTTGGAACTTGGTCTACCGGCCCAATGTGTTTGTAAAAAATTATCAAAACCATTTCAGGGTCCCTTTAAGGGCGCGGTCATAATCGCTGACGTGCGTGCCGTTTCGGCAAGCATCATTCCACTTTCAACGTGAAGAGACTGTGTGGAAAGAGCCGTGGAGATTCATACAATAATACCTAGAGGTAAATATGGTGCTAGTGTCTATACGGGCTCCTTCAGCGACGCTTGTAACGCAATGGGAATTATAGGAAGTACAAGCTTCGGATCTGCTTCGAATGGATTTCAATTTTGAGATTTGCGACACTTCTTTTTTGAGTGAAAAACAAACTGATATAAACTTATATCTGATTGAACCTTGCTTCATTTATTTGTACGCAAACTTTATTGCCAATAATTTAGTGACCAGGCGACAAGAGTGAAACCTGGGCAAATTGAACTATCAGTGTATGCATAGCTCTGCCATTGGATTTCAGATTTGGCATCAAAATTTAATGAATTATTTTTTCAACATTTGAAAACAAACTTACTTGTTTTTCTCTCAAAAGTACGCACAATCTATTTATGGAAATAACAGTAAAGTATTAAGCGAGAAACACTTATCATTTCGTCTTCTGCGATGCTATGTTCGTCTGTCCCAGTGGTCTGCCCCCAACACACTTCTGCTTTTGTTGTGAAGTCGAGTCAGCGGAGCGAGACGGTGCGTCTACTTAGCGTCACCACCGTTTTGCAGTCGACTGAAACGAGTTTAGGCCCGACACACTCGTGAAAAAACAGTGAACTTGATGCAATATCCTGCACTGGTACGAGACGCTACATTTATGCGCAGCGGTGAGTGGGCGATACTACGTTTAAACTGTTAAATACGACTTGTAAAGCTCCAACCTCGCAGAAAATCAAGAGACCTAGTAGTCTTCAGCCTTTTTGAACAACAAAGGCACTGCTTCAGCGCTTTTCGCTGCACCCCACTACCCGTGCTGCGCGAAGAACAAAACTGAAACTGTAAAAAAATGTCTTTACGTTGTTCGCTAGCTAACCCTATCAAATTCAATGCCTTTACTTCCCATAATTTCTGTGGGAGTACACGGTCACAGCGCCAGATTCATCTCCAAGTATTATTGCTTGAAACTCTATGGGAAAGAGCATTTCTCTCTGGATCGACCGTATTTTTTTACACTAGCATTTTGTAGGACTTCGGTGATATCAGATCCAAAAATGTTGGCTGCCAGCCTTACTTCGTATGACATTACAATTTCGAGCTATCGCGTTCACTGCCTTGCATTCAGTGTGCCGTCGTGTTGTTGCTAGAGCTGATTGGCTAGCCTAGAAGGCTGCGACCCCGCAAACTCGCGGCGCAAGATGGCAAAGCGCCCCAGGAGTAGACCTCCGAAGATCCGTCATTGTCACCGTAGTCACTGAGAGTTTCCATCAGCCCCTAATCTGACATTCCCTCGATGGTGATGACAGGATTGTCCCCATTTAAAAAAGAAAGAAGAAAAAGCAAAGCTGAACGTCGTCGGACGGCCACACCTTGTGCGCACGGTGAAACCATGCATGGCACCGAAAATGAAGAGTGAAGGACACGGATACCATTGAAAACTATTCGGTTAAGTGCCTCCATATGCAGCGCGACCCCACATTCATTGCGCATGCACCGGCGGTGGAAACGCTGGCTCCTGGGGCACAGGCCTGCCTCGTGCATACGCGCGTGCAATAACGAGTGCTCGCTCTGGTCTGGGAGTCGCTGGGGCATGGTACCACCACCGCTTTGTGCTTTGTCGGGGCAACCGCGGAAGATGCATGCTCGTGCTAAAATGACAAAGTCTGTGGCAAAATTCCTGGATTGTGCATGGCGAAAATTCGTTATATTAAGGGTGTCTCCCATTGTTACTTTGTTACATAATGGTGGTCTCAAATACATGTGCTTCTACAGAGTAACGACAGGGAATAGAAAAACTTTCTGTTATGTTGAGGTATTTGTTATATGGAGGTTCGTTATAAGCAAGTTTATTTGTAGCAGGTGGGGGGTGTCTAAATGAACAGTTGAAAGAACATGCACAAAATGCTAAGAGAACGACACGTGATAGTTAGTCAACAATGCACTGCAGGTTTTGTGTAAGCCTGTGCAAAAACAATTTTTAGGTTCTAAGAGAACTTGAAGTGAAGAGTGTTTTGGTTCGTATAATTTTGTATCGAATTCAGATAATATATATCACACATTATTAAGAATAATGAGCATAGCTTTTGTAGTTCAACTAACCTACACCACATTTTTTAAAATTGAAAGAAGGAATGTGTAAAAGTCATTCTTTTTGGTTAAAAAAAAGGTTGAAGCATCTTAGAATAGTAGCAGAATTTGACCTTTGATAAAATGCTAGTTATAATCTGTAAAATATGTTACATGTTAAAATGTGCTATACTTAGAGCATATAAGCGAGTTTTCAAATTAAAAAAGAAAGGGAGAATCGATGTTGGGGTAATGTGTTCATTTTACCTTGAAGTGGGGATTCACGTCAGTGCAGATTTTTTTTTTGGAAAGCTGTTTTTATAGTGTAGCTCCACTCCACCACAGTGGAACAACCTTTACAGGAAAGTTACATGCGAACAAATTTACACTTATTCGTAAATTTTATTTGAAATTTTCAATAATTAGAAATGAAGCGAATTCGCATGCGTTCGCTCAAATATTTGAAGTGCTTGAATGAGCCTACTTGTCAGTTTTCCGTGGCAAGTTTTTTTTTAGTGGTGCTTCAAGAGAACTTTTTGCAAGAGCAGTACAGTCACTGCAAACACTTGCAGTGGAAGCGTCTGTTCGATCCAGTTGCTTTTTCTGAGGTCTTTCCTTCAGCAAGTTTCAGGCAGATTCTTTTAACTCAGAGCCACAACATTGAAACAGGGAAGAAATACTTAGGGAAAATGTTTAAAATCGATCGTCCAGGATGCTTCTGAATCTGATCCACACTTTGACTTGTAAGCTTGAGTAGTTAACTTTACTAATTATATCATCAAAATTAACACAAAAAGTTGCGAGTTTGCACCAGTCTTTTGCAAGCAAGACACTGTTGATCACACCCTCATTGGCCACCTTGGCTGGAGTTACATCTAACACATTGTGTAAATACACTCAGCTCTCAATATCATGAACCCGAGTATAATGAAGCATCTAGGCTTGTGCAAATATTCAAATGAATACTACAGTATTCCAATTCACTTTAAATTGAATTTAAATTATTAAAAATTTTGAATTACTTGGGACGAACGAATATATACATATTAGTCCTCATGTAACATCCTTGTAAGGTGGTTTCACTGCAGTTGAGGGGTGCTATGTTGTGAAAACATTTATTCAGGTGTATATTAGTTTTTGTGTAACTCTATGTAAAAGTGGTTTCGCTGCAGTGAAGGGGTGCTAAGTCAGGTATCCAGGAGAAATCTGCACTGCTGTGACACCCTACTTAGAGGCTAAATGCACATAATATCCTCACATCAATTCATTTTTTTTCATTTTAAGACCTCGTTATACCAATTTATATGCTCTAAGTAAGGTAAATTTAAAGTGTAACATATTTCACGAGCTACCACTTGCATTCTACCGAAAGTCAAATCTTGCTATCATTCAAAGTTGCTTCCATTTCCTTTGATGAAAAAAAAAGCGGGAGAGGGGGGGGGGGCATTTGCACAGGCCATGTTTCTATTATAAAAAAAATATATTATATACACCTTTTTTTTATAATATGTGATACACAGTACTACTTGAATTTGATTCAAAATTATTCGACTAAAAGCACTATTCGCTTCACCTTGAGTTCACCTTGAGCCTAAAATAAAGTTCACTATTCCCACAAGCCTAGGAATATTGGTTACAACAAAGTAAATGAAAAATATAGGCTTTTGTAAATATTCAGTTGCTTCAGATATTCGAACAAATATTATAGTATTTGAATTCAAATAATTGAATATTTTGAAGTATTCAAATCGAAGAAATAGATAATCTGCTTGTAACATTTTGTACAGGTTGTTTCACTGCATTGAAGGGGTGTTAAATTGAAGGGGTATTAAGCCGTGAAAGAACCTACTCAGGTGTATCTTCGGTAAAGGTGGTTTCACTGCTGTAAGGTGGTGCTAAGTCATGAACACACGTATCCAGGAAAAATTGGCACTGGTGTGAAGCACCTTTTTAAGGTTAAATGAAGATTATACCCTCACATCGATTCATTTGCTTGCTATACTGACATATATGCTCTAGGTATAGCACATTATAAAACATAAAATATTTTACAGGTTATTACTTGCATTCTACCAAAAGTCGTAGGAGATCATCACAAGTACGCCCAATTTCCTTTATAATATGCAATATATATATACTATTCGAGTTCTGTACAAAATTATTTGACCAAAGTCACTATTCGCTTCGAACCTAAAATTCACTAGTTGCACAAGCCTAGAAAAATAGTCTCGCAATTGATATAGTGCTAGGAATAAACCTTTGTAACAAATTTCTGGATGTAATGAACTTATTTTTGTGTAAGATGCAACTTTGTTATGAAGAGGTTTGAGTGCACAGGAAATCATCATTCTCTCGCAGGATTACCAAAATGTCTTTCTTATGGAAAATGTCAAAGCCAAGTGATGAAAAGGGAATGAACCCATGGTTTGTTCTGCTCTACTGAGAGGTTCACTAATTATGAAAGTAACCTGGATGTGACTTCAGCACATTGTAATGGGTGATTGAAATACATGGGGGGGAGGACCACTGAAATATTTCCAAAGTGCAGATGTTCTGAATAGTAATGCTAGAGGCGAGACAGAGCTTGAATACAAGCTTGTTTCTTTCCTTTTGTTTGTTTCATGTGTATCCTACGTAATTATTCCTGTGTCAAATGGTTTACTTTATCTTTATACTTTTGTGAGGTTTCGATTACTGGTATGTTTTCTCTTATTGTTTAATCTTATTTTATCTTTTTCTTGAAATTTTGCAGAAAGCTCAGATGTTGCAACTATTTCACTTGCATTGAAGACCTTGGGTAGCTTTGACTTTCAAGGTGAGTGTGTTAATTGCGGCTTATTTTGTGTGCCTTTGCATTGAAGCTGCATTTTCTAAAACTTAAAGAGACATTCATTTCAGCAAACACATATTTTAAGCATCATCAGCTCTTTTCGAAATAGTGATAATACAGTAGAACTTCATTGACACATCTAAAAAAACATGTAAAATAAACATACAATCCGGGAAAATGTGTTACCTGAATCCAGTGAAAATTGTGGCTGACAAGCCCATATTGAAACACAAGGTTAAAAAACATTTCTTTTAAAAAAATAAATAAAGAACGATTTCCCGACTTACGGCATGTCACTGGCAGCCAGAGATCAGACAGCTAGTTCTGGTCTTCACAGGAAACAATGTCTTGGTCACATATGTGAAATCACGAAACAACCTGCATATTGCAAAACCAAACGCTGGTGGGACAATCAGCATAAATGTAAAGAAAGGTTACTGTTGTGGAAACAAATGAAACCTTTCGTTTTTATATTGCCGCTTGGAAATATGGGGCGAGGTTTGTCGAAGAGCGGAAGCGATATTTTCAAACTTATGCATTTGGAATACAGTCAAGTACATTGGCCACATTACGCGTGACTCGACCCGTCCATGAACGAAATTGCCAACCCGCTCACATTTTAACAAGCTCAACTCTGCTCACTGTACATTACAATCGCGGAAAGGTCAAGCATCTCTAAAAGCCAAAGCTGCTTGTGGCTGTCGTGTATTTGTCTAGAAAGACTAGAAAAAGCTGTTAAACGCTGGTGCTAATTGTCTGACTCGTTGCCACCGTTCACAGAAAGATTGAACTGTGATTTTTGCTTTGAGAAAAAATGCCTGTAGAATTTAGCCAAAGCCGTGTAAAGAAAGTTTTTTTATGTAATGTCAAAGTACTAGTTCTTAGCTTTAGCGACACTTTCCCCAAGAGCCAAGCGTATGGCTCACAGCAAGATGGCAAGTTAGGCCAGTTGGATTGCGTTCATAATTGAAATTTTTGTTGAAGTGAACTAAAAAACAGATTGACACTAGAGGCTGACAAGGACAGCAAGCGCTGTCCTTGTCAGCCTCATCTGTCCGTCTGTTTTTTAGTGCGCTTTAACAAACTTTTCAAGTATGGCACACAGTTTCAATGCATTCCCAGAAGAGGGGCGTTGCCGGCAAGTTTTTCTTATCCTTTTTAAAAAGCTTTGCACTCAAGGTGAACAACTTGATTAGTAAGCCGCGGTTTTGAAAATTTTTTATGCATTTACTCTTCATAGGTACAAAATCTTTGATACACTTAAGAACGAGATTTTTGAAAAATAGCCATAATTCATTGATACTGCAATCACTTGATTTATAGAAAGAAAGAAAATTCGAGAATGAGTCATCCATTGCATCCAGAATGCCCATGTCATTCGCATGTGTAACAACCGGGACAACATGCACTTCATTTTTCTTTTTAGGCAAGGCACATGGCCAAGATTCAGTGTAAATGTAATCAACTTATGGAGCGATATTTTATCGAGAACTGCAACTACGGGTTCTTTATTAAGCAGGTTTTTGCTAACAAGAAAAAGGTCTAGGATAGATTTTGCCAAGTTGCTAATGCGAAATGGCTCTTTGACTAACTGAGAAAGGTTGTAAAGGAAAACTAGATCAGTTAAACTTTTCTGCAACAGTGCTAAGAGGCTTCGGAATTTCGTTGCTCCAATCAATGGATGGCAGATTGAAGTCATCTATTAAAAAATAATTGATGTGAACAATGTTGTCACATAAAAATTGGTTTAATTTCCCGAAGAATGCACTGTTGTCATTTGGGGGGTGGTAAAATCCACCTACTACCAAGTTGCATTCATTCAGGTGTACTTTAGCGATGACACATTCAACACCAGCTTTAAGGGAAAGTCCGTTTACATGTAACGTATCTCGAAAGCTTCTATCATTACAGAGGATAGCGTAGTCAAGCAGGACAATTTCAGAATCGGTTATGTCGTGCAACCAAGTCTCCGTAATTACGACTACTTGAGGTTTATATGAGAGAATAACACTTTCCGATGCATGAATTTTATTCACAATACTGCGAGCATTAAACTGAAGGCAAAAGAATGGTTTTTTGACGACCGCTGATTACTGTTCGTTTCTAGTATCCTTGTGCTGAACAAGAACTCGAACTTTTGGCTGTCATCCCTTTCAAAAAGATTGTTTTCAATTTCAATCTTATCGTGGATCAGCTAAACTTTTTAAGCACACTGTGCACCGATTTTTCATCACTGTAGCTAGGCATATCATTAACATACCGGAGATATGCGGCCTTTGTTCTTAAATCGGTACATCGATATTTGCAGCATTATTGCCATCCTGAAATTATGCCAAGCGATGTTTGAAGTCGAAAGTTATTGAATTTGGGATGTCTGCTGTAGAAAAATCAGCTGTGAAGGAGACCTGACCACCCTGCTAACCTCAGATTTTATTCAATTAAATTTGAATGTCCGTTGTACCAGAATCCATTATAAAACGAAGCTCAATCAATGGAACAAATAGGAAGGTCAGCATTATGCCGCAAATTAGTATGTAGTAACGGAATGTCTCTTGTAAGTGGAACCGTTGTAATGAAGTTATACTGTAGTGAGAAAAGCCAGAGGAACAAGATATCGTGAGTGTCGAGTGAACAGCAATGGGGCGCACGTATCCACGGGGAGGGGGAGGGAAGGCAAGGTATGGAGTAGGACAAAAAAAGTTGGACATGTTGGGTGTGTGGCGTGGGGGTAATAAAAAGTTGTGCTGTAAATGTGCTTGCAGATCGTCAAGCGTATCGTCGAGTCTGACAATCTGTAGTGAAACATAAAACCTGTTACAGATCCTCCCTTAGCAATCTGCTAATAAAACTATGTGTCTTCTCGCACCTGACGTTTCAGGACGCACTCTTACAAGCTTTGTCAAGCATTGTGCAAATACGTACCTGACAAGTGAGCACAAAGAAATACGCCTCGAAGCAGTTCGAACGTGCTGCTGCCTTCTCTCACCAGCACTGCAGGTGAGCACACATTTTGCCTTGATTTCTGCCATTTTCTGGCAACCAATAGCTTTATTTTAATGTCATGCCTGAAGCCTTCTCTTTGTAGCATAGTAGTCTCCAAATTCAGATTATGTTAATAGTACCTGAAAATTTTTTAATGATAAATAGAGATGGTTTAGCAGCACCACTGTCTGCCTTTCTATAGCTTTCTCACGAAATAAATTTTTGGGGCATGAAAGCAAAAAGCAAAGTCAGTATGAATAATGTCAAAACAAATGGTTGGGAGGTTTCCGTAAGAATTTTGACATGTGCCAGGTTTAGGCGAGGCTGAAAAAATTCTGTTGCTTGTTTTTCAAGTAAAGAACAGCTTCAACTCTGGATTCACATTATATTTTAAGTGCTAATAAATTATGCCAAAGTGCTCTTGAACTACATGATGTAAAAAATTCTGGCAATCAGGGTGATAGCACTGCTGCTTATGGTCTGTTTTCTTATTTTATGAGGCATATAAGGCATCCACCTTAAAATGTAACTCCAAAATTGAATCAGGTCTATCAATTTCCTACCTGTTTGCCAAAACTTATCTCAGAGGCCATCTAGAAAGGAGTAGAAATCTGCTCCAACAGGGGGTGCAGCAATCCAAGCTGCTCATAACTTTTTTTAGTAAACTGAATCATTGATTCAGTAAACTGAATTATTAACTGATTTTTAGTAAACTGAATCATTACATTGATTTTTGTTACAGTTACTTGGCTTTTATTCTGATTACAGTACTATTCAGATGCCATATGTATATAATATAACTCTTCACTTGAACAAGAACCATTGAATAATGTTTTTAAGAAGACTTTTAATTAATATCCAGAGTACAAGTGCTTGACCAAAGAAACAAGAACGCCCCATAGTACTCATGCTCTTAAAAGTTTCAACTACCCATGTACCCTGTTAACCAAGCAAATGCTGGCTTTTTCACTTATATGCCAAAATATGTTGATAGGACAGTAGAATGGTATCTCAGTCACATCATAAACTAGTCTTGAAAATGACATCACTCGAAGGAGATTATTGCTTGATGTGCAACACACTTCTTGTTTGTTTTCAAGATTTTGTCGTCAGCTTTGATGTCGACTATTAGCTCCGCATGTACGAGCGTGCTAGCCAGACTCACCGATGAGACCAAGCCATGATGCTCGCCAATGTAATCTTTTACTTGGATGGCACCTCGTGTGTTTGTTTCAATGCTCATGAAACCGAGTTGACCTGCTGGGACATTTTCAAGGAGCATCTATGCTACATCTCTGGAGACCGACCCGTCCGGTCACCAAATGGCCGCACTAAATGTACTCGCCTATTCCTGATGTTCTCCTGGCACGTGACATCACTGTACAACACTCCTTCATAACCATGGCCTCTCATCAGAGATTTCTCCGTATTATCAATTTTGGTTTTACGAAGCAAGTACTACCTCAAGGAATCTCTTGTCGCCTTGCTGCGACCCTTCGTGCCAGCTCTTTGCGCCATGACACTGCCGTTTACTCTTCATTTTTTTTGTTTTTCGGCCAAGAACCAACATTACCCCTAGATATCATCATCCCGTATACCACTGCACCAACCAGCGAATATGCCCTTGACGCTAATACTCGAGCTGTTCATGCAGGCGAAATCGCCTGCACTCGCCTTCTGACCTCTCAAGAAAACCAGCATCGTTTGTACGGTCAACGGCACTGAGATGTGCATTTTCTACCCGGTTCTTTGGTCCTATTGTGGTCCCTGACCCGTGAAGTCGGCTTGTCGGAAAAACTGCTTTCACGCTGCACAGGTCCATATTGGGTCCTTTGTGAGGTTACTCCTGTGACATATGAAATTTCCCCTGCTGCCTCGTTGCCATCATTTACCCCACAAGCCACCGACATCTACATTTGGCACGCTTGAAGCCCTACCACTCTCCCGATAATGTTGACATTTAGTGCACCGTGATGGCGCTTCTGCCACCGTGGATTTAGCTGCATGTATATTGACATTTTCTGGGACGAGGCCCGTGTGGGCCTGACGATGAGCTCTCTCCCCTCGGTCGCTAGTTAACCGGTCGCGCCACTACTTCTAGTTGTAATATATTTTAGTCTACGGCCTTGTCGATCCAGCGTCTCTTCTCTCACGTAATTATAATATTATAGACTGTATTTGTCAACATTCCTTTTCATTTATTTGTCGTGTTTGACTCTTTTAAACTTTGCCGACAGAGACAGTTTGAATGCCTATGTAGACTACTGGCTGCAGTGAGATCAGAACTGCTTTAAAAACGAGTGCAGTGTTTCTCAATGGCCAGTGCTTTTGTCTTTTGGCTTCTAGTGACTGGTTACTGGCTTTTATTAAAAGTCTACTCGTTGCATTACTTTTACATTTCTTGCTCTGATAGTCCTTTCTTTATATAATTTTTGTCTCTTCACAGAACATGAAAGCAACTGGCAAATACAGCCCCTCCCTCATGGATGATGTCCAGAGAGTGCTTGGAAAATTATTGCTGGCTGGTGTGACCGACACTGGTAATCTTCCGGCCATCACTTTATGTGTTCTGCATTTATGGCAGCTACAACCACAATATCATTGTTTCACTCGCCAATCCTGCTTTCTTGTGTGGCATACAATTGCAGTCGACTAGGGGTATGTTGCCGCCATCCAACATTAGTTTCTTTTTGTCCCTTGAAATTCAGACTCAGATGTGCGTTACTGTGTGCTTGCATCCCTGGACGAGAAGTTTGATGGCCACTTGGCCCAAGCAGAGAACCTCAGTGCCTTGTTCATCTCGCTGAATGATGAAGTGTTCGAGATTCGGGAGCTTGCCCTGTGCATTATTGGCCGGCTGAGCAGTCTCAACCCAGCATACATCATGCCTCCCCTCAGGAAAGTGCTAATACAGGTACGCAATGACAATGCATATTCTGCTTCATTGGTGGCTTTCTCATGATTCCTTTTTGCTGCTCTGACCTTCACAATGTTTGGTGCAGGAGAACAGCTCTCAAATGCAGCATAGCTTGCTACTGTGAGTCAAAATTGTAATTTCAGGACATATAGCAGCACACAGCTTTCATGGCAGTATTGGAAATACCTGTTCCATATATTGATGCGAGCCTGGCTTCAGAAAAATTACAGGTGGCATTCATGACCAAGAGCTGTGATATTTATTTCTTAATTTAAAGAGTCTTTAAAGGCTTTGGGTACACAGTAAAACTATATTAATTGGACTTGCTTATTTTGAAATCCCGATTACGTCAAAAGATTCACACAATCCTGTATTAAGTTTGAGGGCATAATTTAAACTGACAATTAGTCTCAGTCTGATTAACTTGAAAACATTGAGTGACAACCCAATGCCGGATCATAATTTTGCCGCTAATCCACGGCAATGAGGGCCTTTAGGAGCCACAAGGCAATGTACTGTTCTAGAAAGATCTGCTGATGGGCTAGTTGGAACATGCCTTGATATGCCGGGTGCCTGTCTTGTCTCTACAGCTCTTGGTGCATGACAATATGGAGTATGTGCAGCGCAATAAAGCAGAGACAAGAGGGGACACACAAACGACATAGACTGGTGCTGACTTCCAGCTGATTCGCTGATAAGCATGAAGCCCGTTTTTATACAATGAAACCTCGTTAGTGCGTTCATATTTTAAACGTACTAGCAGTTATGACGTAGTTGCGACGAATACCCTACCGGGTCTCGTAGAACTAAAGCATTCGCAGACCGCTCAAGCAGTAGTGTGTTTGACTTATGCCTACCGGTTAGTGCGTACTAACTGCATATTAGGATAACATTGCGCCACAAAATTATCCTGCGGTGCGGAGCTTGCAGATGCTACAATGTGCCGTGAAGGGTTTTCCGTCATGTTTAAGTGCGGAGATCAGCGATAAGTAGTTCAAACTTCCGCGCGATTGCGGCAATGACATTCTGAGTAATCATCAGAGAAAAAAAAAGGAAGTCGATGTGGCAACCATTGACAAACGCACTGGTATGACTTATAGCTGGCGAAAAGCCTTATAAGCATCCCCGGTAATTTGCTCGAGCACGCATGTGACGTAGCATCACTTTAGGCCTACTGCACGCTTTTAGTAGGCGAATACCTGAACCCGCTGGGCTGCTGATCGCTGTCGCTTCGTTTTGCGGGAACGTGTTCAAGCGTGCATCGCTTTACAGGAATGGAAGCAGCTCGCTGTCGCGGAGTTTAGCGTTGTGGATCGCGGGCACCGAGAAACCTTGCTGCATTATGCCAACACGCGCACCGTACAGTGAGTGCAGCGCTGTTGTTACTATGCTGAACACTTTTATTTAGAGACAGCCCGAACGCGCCTCCTTCCGCTGCCAGGACTGCTAGAGCATTGCGGAGAGCGCATTACTTGCAGAAAGCTTTTTGTCGCCGCGCTAATCCAGCAGTTTACTTGCCGAATCTGCGCATGGCCTGAAGCGGATGGTGTACTCTACAGCAAGCGGATCAGCAGTCATGGTGTGCGCAGAGTGAACGAAGCGCTTCACGCAACTAGCCATGCAGTAAACGATTTGGCTCTCTGCGACCGTACTGCATTTTAAAAAGAAAAATGCATCAGTTTTTGCTAAGAAGCAGACCGCTGAAAAACTGTGTCACAGACAGCCAATTGCGCTTGTTCTGTCGCTTTACCACACTGCGTATCCCGGATCCCGCTGTAGTTTTGAAATGCTCATCGGCGTTGCCACCGCGTGCTCTCAAGCGGTTGTGCGAAAGTCAGAAACTTTTCAGTACTTAGACAAAAAGAAAGAAATGGTCTGGCGGTGGACACTTTAGGCAATATTTTCCTAGGCACCGAGTTTCTTCCTTTGGTGGCGACGATGGCGCATGTCAGGAGATGTGTATTTGTAGCTGTTGGTTAATGCGTAGTATGTTTAGTGCGTAGAAGTCCTTGGCAGGTATGTATTAACGGGGTTTCAATATAGATACACACATGTTATCCACGACTCAAGACGTATCACGGCTGAGCATACAAAGACTGCATATTTTTCTCACTTACCCAGACCACAGAAACACATCTTCAGTGCATTTTTAAAACGTTTTCGTGAGGGCATTTGAAAGTCTCGAGAACATGCTCAACTAGTCTGGATCGAGTCCCAGAAAGATGCTATTGTCCGGCCTCAGCATGCTTTCTGAAGATCCACAAATGGTTCACCAGAGCATTTCTGGCACTATTTCAGGATCTATAGGGGACTGAAACATACTCAAATTAGTCCACCAGGACATTTTGCATACCAACTGTGCTACTCATTAGGAAATTTTCGGGACAATTTGCGTACCGAGTGTGTTACCCATCAGGACATGTCTGGGACACTTTGCGCACCGACTACGCTACCCACCAGGATAGGTTGTATGCTGAATAGCTGTATTTTACATTTTACTTTTTGGGAAGATAATGCTAGAGCACAGTTGTGTATTCATAGTTTAGAAACGTGTCAGTGGCAATGCAGACGATACCTATGCAGGGTACGTGGCTGCGCCACCCTCTTAAACAAGCACAAAAACGACCAGTTTTTGAAATACTTCATTCTGATGCCCTGGCCATCAAAGCCAACAATAAAATCCTTCACATGATGAGGGGGACGAGGTACTCAGTAGTCTTCTTTCTTCAGAATAATCGGAGTGTACTTCCACCGAGACTAAAAAAAATCGAATACTTTTGTGAGTACAATAGTTACAGATACCATAAATATTTCGCAAGCGCAGCATGAAGCCACTCTTACGATCAGTGTGGACAGTGTCTTTGAAAGTCAGAAAACAAGCTCTTTCTACAGTATATGTGCCTTACACGGTGAAGTTTGAGCAGATGAAATTGCCTGTGTGACTCCTCATATATAGCACAAAAGTTTTGGAAAATTCATCAAACCATGCTGTGCAGCTTCACAGTAATTGACACACCATTAGGCAGTCGCTTATTTCTTCAAGAAAGCACTACAAAAATGCATTTGCATTTTATAGTTCGGTTTTGCTAAAAAAAACTCTCGACAAAAGGTTCTTGGTTTTTCCGATTTCGGATGCGACCAAATATTGCCCTCGGACTCTTGGCTAGTGGCAAACCGTCAATATTCAAACATAGCCTGAGCTCATTAGACAAACGTGTACATTCCAGCAGTTTGCCGCAGTCCCCAAATGGCGAAACTTCCCTTCTGCAGCTCTCCGAGATTAAGCGCCCTTCTGGAGTTTGCAAGAGAATCCTAGCAGATGACGATAGTGACAAGAAACAAGAATGGCTCCGTAAAACTGACAACAGTGTCATGACCGCGATGTGCGAGCCCCATGATTTTACTGCTCACGCTTGTAATCTTCGCCAGAAATTAGGCACACCGATTACGTTGACGGGAAACATGATGCCTCAACTTAGACAGTCATAATCTGAGTCGGCGTCGATCATGCTGCAACGAAAAGGCTGGTGGCAACAAGTTCATGTCGTCACTGCGCGAGCCACCACTGATCGAACCACTTAATAGATCTGCAACACGCTGATACACTACATGTGCATTATCATTCACAAGATCAGCAGAAATGCCACTATATTGAGCTTGGAATTATGCACCACCCGTTCATTGGGCCGAGTTGCTTAACATTGAAGTAGGGCGCAACCAGTAGATATTGTGTCGAGCAGAGACCATTACATTTTTGTGCACTCAGACTTTGAGAGCTACACGCCGGCTCTGCGAGGTCATTGTTTACCCTCACAGCTGAACACACGCATTTACGCAGCATTTTCGTTGGCGGCGAAATAGCCATTCATGGCGTTCCGCCGTCACGAATACACAGAACTACAACTGCAACACTTCAAGAAACTGGATGGAATTCACCAATGTTCATGCCTGGGTGCGCCTTCCCACGTGCAGCCTCTCCACATGCGGCCATTGAAGTGCAGAAAGGAAGCGGAAAACACAGTGTGGAGACTGCTGCAGCCACTAGAGGTCCACTGTTTTTTTGTCCGAACCCCAAGTCGCAGTGTTTCCACGTGTCAGAAATCCGATAAATTTAAATATATGTCGACGAAAGTTTAACTTCGCAAGTGGTATTGTCCCTTAACTAGTGTATTTTAAAGAATCGAAATAACTAAACAAAATTATGCCATATATATTTTTTATATTAAATCTGCGGTCAAGTGGTGTTTATCTTACAAATCCTGTAATTTCCTTTCATAAACAGCTAAGCGAGTTGCTGTCCTAAACACGTCCGCATGAGAACATTGTATGGATAATCCCACAAACGAGGTTCTAGAAACATTTTCAGGATGCTGCCAAGCCGACGAGGACGTTTGTGCCTTTTGAGGACGAGCATAAGATGTCGACTGTTGTCTGGGAACACATGGGGCGTACTTACACGCTTGATACTGGACTTCATAAAAATAATAGAGGCACCTTACATTAGGAAATCCGGACTGCTTGCTGTTGCAGTTTGGCACAACACACTTCCGCCACATCGTGAACAACCACTAGTCGAAATGTTCAAAACACTTGCCTTCGTCGTGGCGTGGGAAGTGCGCACAGACACCAAGAAATCGACCAAGTCAGCGCCGCCAGCGCAACGCGAGAAAGTCAAGATCGTGAAGGGGATCGCGGCCGCTTGCTGGGAACTTTTCCTCCCAGGGCCACCTATGCATGCGCGTGCACAACATGCGAGCGAGGGGTACGTGCATGTGCAGGCCCAGACGTTTTCTTCTCAGAGACCATTTACCAGCTTGTTTCAAGTGCTGTAAGGCCTCTAATTTTGGCAGTACCAATTAGTAACTGTGACCAAAATATCTGTCACGTCTACCGATTCATGTTACAGATAAAAATTTGAAAAATTTTACATTGTATGAGGAACTATCTTCATTTTTATGTGTCACGTCCATAAAAGCGCATGTAAAAGATGGCAAGAA